TGCCTAGCTTTTGTGGTTCTCGAGTTGAAAGTGCGGGACAAAATGTGGGACACACACACACACACAGAGAATCCCGTGAGAATATGCGTTTCGTAACGCTGTTACACAGCACAAAACGCATAAAAAAGAGAAACCGTGGGAAAGTTGGCGAAGTGCTGGCAGCCCACACGAAGGAAAAAAAAAATCGAAAAGTGAGATTTTAGCCGACAGAAGAAACAAGCATAAAGCCCACTTGTTGTTGTTGCTGTTGCTGCTGCTGCTGCTGCTGCCGCTGCTGTAGCGCGGAGCGTTGACGATGCGGTGCGCAAGGCTGCGCCACGTCAGAACCTGACCACTGGGCGAATCCGTTGCGGCAGCAGCTGCCAGACAGAGGTGCTGCCGGAATGCAGCACGCTGCAGCAAATGTTGTTGCCTTTCCAGCAACCGCCGCACGCAGCGAGTCGTCTGCACCGAGAGACGCATGGACAACGGCTCCCTATAACAGCACACAGTTGAGCAGCGACCACAGGCCCGACCGCCCCGGCCAGGCCTGCGCCAGAAATGAGCCGGGGAAAGTGCGAGTTCGGGGATGACAGGGCCCTGCTCCACAGTCGAGGGACGGGGCTGAGGCAGCGAACGGCGCACTGAGATCGCCTCTTCCTCTCTCTCGTGCGGAGCTGTAAAAGAATTTATCGGTGACAAAGAGGAACAGCAAATGTTGGCGAACTGGTAATATCACAAGCACGAATCAACGCGTCTTCTTCTTCTCCTTGCTCGGACTGCTCTCGGCGGCCGACGATGCCGGAGACGCCGTTGGCTGCGCCGGATGCCACTGAAAACACCGAGCTGCACAGAAGCTATTTTCTCTTCAACCTCTAATTGTTAGGGTTGCGCGCGGACATGAAATTCGTAAAATGTCAGCTTCCTGTCTTCGCTGGTTCTTTCAAAATTCAGCATTCTATCGTGTCCGACTTTGAATTGAAAACTTCTCATCAAAACTTTCACGTGTCCGTAAGCGGGTCAGAAATTCCGGGGTTGCACATGAGCTGGAAACGTCATCCTAAGATTTGAGCCCAACGTGGTTCCCGAGCTGAAAAGACAGTCGCCATTTCCCAGCAAAACTTCCCAAATGTCCGTACGTGCGACATACAGTTAAGTGAAAAATAAATTCGTCGCACCACACGTGGAATTCTTAAAATTCTTTTTCCGGTTCTTGAGTTGAAAATTACAAAATCCTAAGCACATACGCAGGGGGATGCACACACACACGCGCACAAACACACATACACAGAGGATGTCGATGCTGTGCATTCTGCACAGTCACCACAGCGTAAGTGTTTTGGAAATTTTTAAGATGCAAACTATGAAGGTTTGTTTGGCACTACAGGCCGGTCGATGAGAGGGACACAGTCGAATAGTGACAGTTGTGAGAAAGCAGTAAGTGCCAATTTATATACCCAGATAAGCGAGCCTATATGTGCATTAGCTGTTGTCCGGTCTGTGTTTCGTCCCTGAACTGTAAGCACAGACGGCAGAGTGGAATGGGGTGGGGAATCATCAGTACAGTGTCCCATTCCGCCATGTTTAAACGAAAATGTGATTTTCCGAGCGAAGATGAGGGGAACACGTAAAAGTTGTATGAATTAGTGGATATGAAGCGAAAGCTGCCACACTGCTGCTGCTTGAGAGGTTTCGAAATGAACGCTGAGGCTTACGTGCACCGGATTGCGCCTGAGGAACGGCCAGGGTGGCACAACGAGCAGGCACGAGAGCACAAAACCGAAGCCCAAACTGTAGACGGCGTGCGAGAGCTGTTGCGTTGCGTATCCCACACAGAATCCAAGCACTGCGGTTAGTACCAAAATTACCTGAAACACAAAAAACGCTATTCCTCCTCGG